TAAATGTTTAGAAAATGAAAAACCCAGTGCTTTAAGTCAGCACTGTCTGATTTCAGTCAGTGCCCACTGTGCCACATCACTCTGTTTAAAATGGCAGCTTGCAGACTCAGCTGCCTGATGCTGATTGGACTGCTACCACTGGCTACTAGAGCTTCTGCCAGAGCCCAGCCTTACAGGTGAAGGCTTATTAGAGGGCACGTCACCAAGATCCCCTCAAACCCAAAGTCCTGAAGGGAAAGCTCCTGCAGGTATTCCTGGGCAAGGCAAGATGTTTGTTCCTGCCCATTGGCTCCCCATACCTGTAGCTGCTTCATAGATGAGTGCAATCACAGATACAGATTTATGTCTCATTCTTAATAAGAAACCTTGCTTAAGCCAACATCTATTACGGCTTTTTTTAAAACAAACAAACCCAGTGATATGTGTGAATTGGTAACGGTGATGCATGCCCCTTGCTGCCCTGATTTTTAATGTATCTTTTCACATGATGTGTTAGCACCAATTTCTCTGGTAATGAATTCGTGACTGCACATTTCTTATCTGTGGAGAGGATCATGTTAAATATTGAGCTCTATATATGCAGATGTATGACACGGTGTTCTGGATGGAAGAAAGATTAATCTGGTGATGAGTCACTTCCCTCCAGCCATTTTTATATTTACTTTTAAAAACAACAACAAATTTATACTGCCTGTCTTCCCTTTTGGATTTTAGGGTGCTGTAGAATCCAGTAATCATAACAAATGCAGTAATAAAACAATAAATAAAACCCATTACAGTACATTATGCATTCTTGAGTTCACAAAAAGAACGTTTGGCAACTTTTGTGAGGAATTGTTGCTGGTGTTGCTCTGTGCTACCTAGAAAGGACAGCAGATTGACATGTCCTGACAATTCCTGAGGCTGTTGTGTTCCTTTTTCTTTTCTTTTTGTGGAGAAAATGTCAATCTGCTGAGTCCATCCAGTACATACCCTTAATATCTCTACCTGTGGTAATCCGTGGTATTGTGACAAATTGTGTCCTGCTCATCCACCCTAGGTAAGATGTGTGGTATCCAAGGCCAGCTGGGTTATTTTGGTACTTGAGGCAGAAAGTCCCACAAGTGACTGTCCCACAAGCACCTCTCCCCCTCCCTGGCAGCACAGTTTTGAGGAATAACAAGAGTAACAGCCAATGCTTTGTTAACAATTTTCTGCCCTTTCCTGACACTCAAAAGTCACCTCCCTGGGGCAGCTGCTTCCCTCTACCTAAGGGCAGGGCCAGCTGCACGAAGAGAGCGTAATAACCATCACCACCTTTTTTTTAAATGTGCTTTTGGACATTTGGGATAAAACCAGTGATATTTCTACCTCTTACTACCTGCAGAAAAGTTTTGAAATTGAACAAGACATGAGCCCTAAAAACATTGAGTAGCCCTGCTGAATTAGCCCAGTGGTCCATCTACCGTATTTTTTGCTCTATAAGACTCACTTTTCCCCTCCTAAATAGTAAGGGGAAATGTGTGTGCGTCTTATGGAGCGAATGCAGGCTGTGCAGCTATCCCAGAAGCCAGAACAGCAAGAGGGATTGCTGCTTTCACTGCGCAGCGATCCCTCTTGCTGTTCTGACTTCTGAGATTCAGAATATTTTTTTCCTCCAAAAACTAGGTGCGTCTTGTGGTCTGGTGCGTCTTATAGAGCGAAAAATACAGTAATTCACAATCCTGTTTTCATAGTGGCCAACCTAATGCTAATTGGATGCACAAATGCAGGACCCAAGCACAATGGCTCTCTCCCTTCTTGTGCCTCCGACGCTTGACTTCCCAGCTTTAAAAAATTGTCTAAACTCATTTTAAAGCTATGCAAGGTGGTGGCTATTGCTACATCTTGTGGGGCTTTTTAAATATATACTGTATGTATATTTAATTAGTGAAACATCTTTATACCACTTTTTCAAAGACACCAAAGCAGTTTACAAAAAAATCCTCTGCAAGACAAAAGCATTAATAACAAAGTTAAAACATATAATAAACATGTATGGCCTTTTCAGATGCACTGTATAACATTCCTGGCTCCCTAAGCCATGGTTTTGTAAGCCAGAAACAGCTGTCTGGTCTGTACACTCTTCCTTTGCATCCTGACCTCCTCCACTGACTTGGATGCTGTGATCCTAGTCTCGTTATGTCTTAAATGGGGGGACTGTGTTTTAATATTGACTTACCAACTAGGATCCAAAGCCACAGCTTTATCCTGGAGGATGATTATGAGGAGAGGGGGGAAGCATGCAGCCCCAGCGCTTTCTCCTGGCTTAATGAAGAAGGGTTTATTGAGCAGGAAACGTTGCACCTCAACTGGCCAAAAACATTTGACAAAACAAGAAGTCTTACAACCTTTCCAAAAGGACAGCAATGCAAGAAGTTGCATAACCTCTGTGGGATGGAGGATGCAAAGGTTTGGGACTGCTACTGGAAAAGTTCCATCCTGGGAAAGCTATTACTGTCCAAACCTGATGTGTGAATGAAGCAGATTGTATGCCATCTAAGTAGACCTCTGCTGGCAACTGGTCAGGTGTGTGTGTATAGATGGTCCTTAAAATATGAGGGCGTGCAAGATCTTAACATGCTTGTGGGTCCTATTAGCATTTTCTCAATTGAATTTCCAGGCTCTGTTGTCCTTGGCTCAGAAACAAACACCGTGCATCTACCGTAGCTCTTTCATTATGGGAACCTTATTTCTAAAGTTACTCCCTAAATGATGGGGACCCACAGAGTTTGTGCTTCGTCTGGGCCATAACCACATCTCCCTTTCACAAACAGGAGCCCACCCATCTCTTTTTCTGCCTCTCTCAGCCTCTGCCAAAACCACCTACATTCTTTAACCTCCCAACCCTGTGTGTTATCTTTGTCTGCAACTCTTCCCTCCGGCTGGCTGGCTGTTCTGTACAGAGTTCTCTGAATGTGTACTTGGAAGGATAACCAGTGCTTGGATAATCCAGTCCTTTGTGTTCTTTCTGGCTGTAAGTGATAGTTTGGTCTGTGGTGTGTGTTTACTTTTTTCCTTACCCCTAAACTTAGAAGAATGAGCTATATGGAATATGAAAGGACTCCTGATTACTAAAGCTGCCCACACAAGGCAAATTATGTTCAAATTATGGCGTCCTTTTCCCCCCTTCTTTAAAAAAAGAGTGTATGGAAACTGTTATTCTGATGGGCCCAGTGCTTATTTCCTTTGTAAGTTACTTACATTTTATACTTTTACTTAGATTTTATAGCTTTGAATCTCTTATATGCTGGGAGATAAGACAATAGCAGAAAGACTAGAGAACCACAATGTTTTAAGGACCCTATTGGGCCAAATTACTGCTTCAGCAGATGCCTTTTGCACCAAATTAATCCAGCACAAAGGGGATTTGAAATTTAGGGGCAAGCAAGGTATCCCAGATGAAAGGTTTTCCATTACCCTGGTGTATAAGATGATCCCACATCATACTCTTTTTAGACAGACCAGAGAGTGGGTGCACATGAGAAAATAAAAATTACCTCCAAATGGTTTTATTTTTGCTCCCTCTGCCTACCCAGCTATAATGATGGAAAGACCTTAAGTTTTCATGACTCACTCTTCTATTGTGTAGGAGGAAACAAGGCTAACTCCCTCAGGGACGAGCAAAGGGTCATACCAAAATATCTCCTCCTGTTCTCCCCAGAGTGATGGGTACAGATTCCCAGGCATAAAGGCTGTGGGGTGTGTGTGTGTGTGTCACGAGTGTGGCATGTTCGCTGTCAAAGGCATCTGGTTAGCTTGCAGAGCAGGGAAGAGAAGGGCTGCAGGCTACGTGCAGTCAAGGCAGTTTCCTGCACTGACAGCTTTGCCTTGTCCATTCTCGCCCTCATTCGAAATACTCTTCCCACCCTCATTTTGAGAGGGTATGCTGTATCTTCACTGCAGGCTTCGACTTGTACCCCCTTCCCCACCCTGATGTTATTTGTCTCGGCTTGGCGTTTTGCTGCTTCTGAGGCCACGCTTCCATATTTTAATTTTAGGTGTTGGGTGGGTTACAGAGAAGGCTTTTGCTAGCTTTTTGAGAAGAGGCATGGCTCATTCTTGCATATTATTGTCTCTATGAGAGAGACAATATTGTCTCTGAGAGAGAGAATGATGGCTACTTCCCTTCATGTGCTTTAAGAAACCGTGGTTGGCAGATCTAATGTCAGAATTAACCTCTACACGCCATTCCTGGAAGAGCTCCAGATTAAAGGATGTGGGAGCGCTGGATTGAACTGTGCAGTGAGCCTCCACATGTCTCCCCTAGTAGCATTCACACATTCCTTTCTGCCCACCGCATTCCACCCGACTGTTCCTGAGTTTTGGAGAATGAGCCACCATTGTGCCTCTTGTGCTTAGCAATATTCCAAGCTGCTCAAACGAAAGTTTGGAGCCTAGGAAATCTGGCACTTACAGGTCCTTTGCTGCCTTTTCTATCCACCACCTTGCCGCCTCTATCTGTTTACTTCCAAAGTAAATGCTCATTGAAATGCTCATTGTGACACTATGTGTGTTTTGGAGTTGTATAAGCTCACAGGACTTTGTTCAAAAGTAAATTCCACTTCAGTTTTCATGTGGGAAGCTTCTAAGAAAGTGCATCTCTCTCTCTCCCTCTCCCTCTGTGTGTGTGCGTGTGCATTTGTTTATTCCAGCCCATCACCTGGAAGTGCACCCCTTTCATTATCTTCATTTGTTGTCCCCAAAGCCTCCTGCCAACAGTCATATATATGTCTTGTCCTTAAGACTCACCCACTGATCGGTTCCTTGGTCATGTGTGCTTTGATATTCTCTAGGTGAGGCTTTCCCAACTGGGTGTCCTCTACATGTCATCCCTGACACAAGGAATCATGGTGGTTGAGGGGGATGGTAGTCCAAAACATTTGGAGGTCATCAGGTTGTGGGAGGTTGCTGTAGACTATTGTTATTTCTGTTTTGGTTTATTCCATTAATCATGTTTACTTTTCCTTTTTCCAATGAAGCTTTGACAGTGAGATTCATCACTAAGCGATTTATTGGTGATTATGACCCAACTCTAGGTAAGTCTCGCTTCTGGCTTATGTCTCTTGTACTGATTCAGAGTGGTGGTAGATGGTTTATTATTATTATTATTATTATTATTATTATTATTATTATTATTATTATTTTATTTTGGAGAGTTGGCTCCAGCACCAAGAGCAATTGCCATTTAGCTCTCAAATACAAACTGTTTGAAGGAAGTGGTGAGGGTGATAGCTTAATGATAGTGCACATGCTTTGCATCCAACAGGTTCCAGGTCCAATCTCCAGGTATGGTTGGGAAAGACTTTTGTCTGAGAACCTGAAAATTTGGTGCCAGTTGGTGTTAGATAACACTGCGCTAGATGGTCTGGCTCATTATAAGGCAGCAGCCTATATTCTTATGATGGAATCGGGGAGGCTAACTAGTGCTACTACTTTCATACAGCAACAATGGACTCTCTACTTGGTGAAAATAATGTCAACGATTGGACAAGATGCTATGGTGAGCTGAAGGTTTAGTGCAAAGAGAACCTAGCACTTTATTCATTTCTCCATTGCCATCTTGCTCCATTTACCAAGCAATTACATTCTAGAAAATGCCTTGATATTGGACCAATCAAGCTGAATCTCCGCTGGGCTGAGTGTCTGTTCTTTGAATATAATAATAGAGCAAAGCACCATCTGAAAATCCTTTCATAGTTCCCCAGAAAGCCTACTTTGCCTCCAATTCAATAGTCATTTTGAAAATTTAGGTCATTATGTACATGTTGTCATTTAGCCTAGAGAGGCTGATAGTCTCCCATCTGCAAGGGATCCCACCCCCACCACACCCCAATTGTCAATTTGGGAGCAACTCATGGAAAATTAGATTAATACCTGTTCAGTCCTACATTTCCTCATTTTTGTTTTCTTTGATGGCGGAGGTATTCTGCACAAAAGCAAGAGCTGTCCCTCCCCCAACCTCCAGACTCTTCAGATCAGGTACCTAGATAACATGCATGTGTCCTGAAATTACTGCATTTTCAACAAGGCAAAGAAGCCTGCCTTGGACAGAACTGGAAGCTGATAACTCTGAAAAGAGATGGAGTGATTTGTGAAGTGTTGGGCTTGAAGAACTAACAGGAACTAGTTTGGGATACTGGAGCCCTCAGTAAGGCTTCCTGCTGTGTTGTTGTAATAGCAACATAAACACCTCCATTTGGAGTTACATATTTAGAGATTATGCTGTTAGTCCATCTGGCCTTTTGAGGATGGTGTGGGAATAACATCGTGTGGGTTGCAGCTTCCTGAATGGTTACTAAAAAGGTCTGTTGATGTTTTCTTCTTTTTCTTCAGAGTTTTCCACCCCTCACAGCTGAAAAGCAACTTGCCATTTCTGTCTTGTCTTTTCAGCATTTTTTATTTTTGGGCTGGGTTGAAATCCTATGCACACTTTTTTTAAAAAAAGGAAATAAGCCCTTATTGAACACAGTGAGGATTACCTGCAAGCAAGCATACATAGGATTGCATGGCATGTCACAGAATTCACTGTGCACAAAATAGAGTAATTTGGCTGCTCTGTAGAAGTCAGAGAGGGCTGTGGGTGGGGAGGGTAAGCAGAGGGAGAGAGAGAATCACCTTTATTCTTTTCCTTTTGACAGAGAGGCATAATTGCCTGCCTTTGGGTGTATTATTCTCCTCACAATGTGACTAGACAATATATGGCACGTCCCCACCCTTTAATTCACAGTGCATATGGACAGACTCCTTTATCAACACATAGATCTTGAGCAGGAGAAGAATGGTCCTCGAGGCCAAGATGACTTAATAAGGCTTGTGGGAGCCTGGACATTTCATAGTTAGAGGGCATGTGAGGTTTCAAGGTGAGAACAAGGTGTTTGGGAAGAAATATGTAGCTGTGCACAGCTGCCATTCAGGGCATCTTTTGTTCAATAGGTGGCCTTTTCTGCCTTCCTTGGGCTGAGTTTTGCCAGAACAACTGGTGCGCTTTCATTTTAAGTCACTGGCAAAGTTCCCTTTACCTTCATGGTCCTTCCTCCACCCCACCAAGACTAGTGCCAGAATTTCTCCATTTTGAAGCTTTAGCTTATGCTGCAAACAGGAGGCTGGGCAGTGTATTGAGCTCATAATGAACTTGCCAGTGATGATGGGCTATATTTCGATCCACAGTCACAGTGTGGCCAGTGTGGCCTGCATACTACAAACCTCTCTGTCCATTTACACACACACACACACACACACCAATCTACTTTTCATCTCTCCTTCTGGATCCTCACACTTTTAGTTCCTCTCTCCTTCTACATCCCACCCTTCTCTGAGAGCCCTTGTTGTGTCTGAGGTGAGGCAGGGGGCATTTGGGAAGGGGCTCTTCTGTTTTGGCACCCCACTTGTGGAGCTGTCTCCTTTGGAAGGCTCACCTGATGCCCACCAAAATCCTTTAAAAATAAATAAATTATTGGGTTTGAAGAGTTTTGCCGTCTGACTTTACCTGTTCAATAACAGGCTATGGTGTTTTCTTGAGTTTTATATTTTGATTGTAAACTGCACTGGAAGTTCTCGAATAGAAAGGTGGTATATAAAAATTAATGATGAGGTTATTAAAAAAATACAGGTGCATAAGATTTCTCAGCAGCGCAAGACGTGTAAGGGGGATTTTCATGCTGGGCTGTGTACTTGCTTGTGAGCAGAACCAGGAGGGCAGACAAAGGAAGAGAGCACTCTCCACTCAGCTTACTGCTAGCTTTTATTTTTAATTCTGCCCTGTGCATATGCCAACAGATTTCTCATACATGTTTTATGTTCCACAGAGATGATTTATAGGCACACAGCTGTCATCGATGGGGAGATGGTGCATTTTGAAATTCTTGATACAGCAGGACAGGTAAGGTTCTGGTCACTATATCTCAAAACAAGGGGATTGGGAAGGGGCCAGAAAAAAGCCACCAAAATTTCCCAGAGGGCTTGGGCTATAAAATTTGGGGCCATAAAATTTGAGGCTGTTTATCTTGGAGAGAGGAAAGGCAAGTAAAGGGGGGACATGACAGAGATGCATATAATTATGGCTGTTGTGGACCAAGTCAGTAGAGGCATTTTGTCTCTCTTTCTGATAATATCAGAACCTGGGGCCATCCAGTAAAGCGGAATGGCGAGAGAGTCAGGACAAACAAAAGGAAGCACTTCTTTTCCCAGTGCAGAGATAACTTAAGGAATTCACAGGCACAATATGTTTTGACAGCCACCAACCTAGATGGCTTTAAAGGGGATTAGATAAATTCACAAAGAATGAGACTTAACAATGGCTATTATTCATAATGGCTATATTCTGCCAACCTAGCAGTTCGAAAGCATGTCAAAGTGCAAGTAGATAAATAGGTACCACTCTGGCAGGAAGGTAAACGGCGTTTCCGTACGCTGCTCTGGTTCGCCAGAAGTGGCTTAGTCATGCTGGCCACATGACCCAGAAGCTGTACACCGGCTCCCTCGGCCAATAAAGCGAGATGAGCACTGCAACCCCAGAGTTGGTCACAACTGGACTTAATGGCCAGGGGTCCTTTTATATTCTGCTTCTAGAGGCACCATGCCTCTGAATACCAGTTACTGGGAAACCGTAGCAGGAAAGGGCTCTTACCTTCAAGTCTTACTTTGCTGTTGTCTTTTTAATCAGTATTTTTAGGTTTCTTTTCTGTCTAAAGGCCTTCAGCGTGGCCTAGACAAGATAGACAAATCCAAAATCAATAGAATCAAACTATATAAAAAGACAGACACAAAGCAACAGCAAACATTTCCAGCCATTAAAAACCTCAGAGGCATCTGGTTGGTTGCTGTGCTGAACAGTATGCTGTGCTGAGATGAACCATTGGTCTCATGCAGAAACATAAACGAATAATAAAACGGTGGAGGTGGAAGCTGGATGTCCCCTTACCCACTTTCATTCTGTAAATGAAGTGGGCAGTTAAATTGCATTAAAGGGTAAGTAATTCTGTTCAGTAGTCTTGAGAGACCACCACCACCACAACAACAACAACAACAACAACAACAATTTATTATTTGTACCCTGCCCATCTGGCTGGGTTTCCCCAGCCCTAAGAAAGAGAGTGCCCTCAGAACTATGTTTCTGAGATGTAAACAGTGTAGTAGCTAAAAGAGTGAGCAATGAGCCTGGAAATCCCCAGATCAAAGTTGCGTTAGTTGTGAACTTACTGTCCGACCAGTGTCTCTTAGCCTTGACCCCTCTACAGGAATGATACTGACTGATCTCACATAGTTGCTGTAACTTTTATTCCAATAAAAAGGAACCAATGTACTGGTTACATGGTTAGAGTGTTGGACTATGACCAGGAAGATCTAGATTCAAATCTCTACTTTGGCAATGTCTCAACATGTTACTGGAAAAAGGACATTATCTATCTGTCTGTCTGTCTGTCTATATCTGTCTGTCTGTCTGTCTGTCTGTCTGTCTGTCATCTATCTGTCATCTATCTATCATCTATTTATTTATTTATTTATTTATACATACATACATACATACATACATACATACATACATATCCTGTCCATCTGGGCAGCTTCCAACACAAATAAAAACATAATAAAACATCAAACATTAATAGAAACAATCTGATCCAATATAAAAAAATCAGAATAACTTTAAAATAAACAACTTATATCAAATAAAGCAATATTCAATAATCCATTAGACTCTAATAGGAAACAGTAAAATTAAACATCAGCAAATAATAATTAAACAGTTTACACTTACCAATTACAATAAAGAATTACTAATCTATAATCAATAAAAATAACAGCAAATCACAATGCCATTATAAAATGGTAGTATGTCCTCATACAATAAATAAATGCCTACATTATTTCAGTGCAAGCACCAATAATGTCTGTTTCCAAGTAAGTTACTTTTAGACACAACTGTACTGCTCTCCCTTCCTGAGCAACATTGCACATTTGAATTTAAATCTAACTTGCCCCATTTTAAAGACACAGACAGAATGTAGCATGGACTGTTAGGGAAGGATGGGAGCTCAGTTACAGAGCATCTGCTTTGCATGCAGGGGGAGGTGTTGACAAGCGCAGGGGAACTCTGAGGTTTGCAGAAGCACAACAAACTTTAGGGGAAAACACCCAACAGCCCATGATGGCTGAGGATGCCCATTGGGCGTAGAAAGGTGATTGATTGTTGTTGGGGCCGTGGAATGGAGTAGCTGGAGACTTGAACAGAAGTTCTTCACATTACAACCTTTTGTTGCAGGTCCCACTTGTGAGTTTATAATTTCATTTTCTCTCTCTCTATTGACCAAAGTAGATGAATTGTGGCTGACCAAATCTGGGACCTGGATGACCACCGAACAACTGTCAAGTGGGCTGGGTGGGGAATGGTGCAATCTGCAGAGGAGAACCAGTGATTAGAAAGGGGGTACATAACCACCATTGGTCATTGTGTACAGATGTTGTGAGCTCTTTGCAAAGAAGGTGCCATGCTTATACAGATTTGCGATTGGTCTCTCTGTCCTAGGAGGAGGACTCTCTACAAATTGAAGAGAAGATAAAGTGGGGAGATGGCTTTGCTGTGGTTTACTCTGTCACTGACAGGTGCAGCTTCGACGAAGTCATGAGGCTCTGCTTCCTCATCAACCACATCCATTCCAGCCCAAAGCGGAGCAGTGCGAGTGGAGAGCCGCCCGTCGTGATTGTCGGGAACAAGAAGGACCTGCAGTTTGACCGCATGGTGTCCTCTGAGGATGGGGAGAACCTCTCCAAGGCCCTGAAGCATCCTTTCTACGAGATCTCTACCAGGGACAGCTATGAGGAGACAGTGGTGGTTTTCAACACTTTATACAATGAGCTGATGAAGCAAGGTCATTTTTCCCCAGGGTCCTTCAAGAGGCGAGCAGTGTCTAAACTAATGGAAAAGATCCCAAAGATTCACGCCAACTCGACTCTGGCCTCGGGTGGCAGGAGCCTGAGCTTCAATTCCTTCAGGGACTACATCCCGGAATGAACTTCTGCACAGGCCATTGTGAAATGATGGGCAGTTTATGCAGGGACCAGCTGGAGTTGACAAGGGAGAGTGTGAGGAGCTGGTGAACTGGCAAGTCCAGAGACCTGTGCATTGTTAGGAAAGGTGTTCTTTCCCCCTAACTACCTTTAAAGGCAGGGAGGTCACAGGGTGACCCTAGACCAGCTTTGTGGTACAGCAGTACATAAGACCAACCCGACGTGGTCAGACAAAAGGTCCACCTAGTCCAGTATCCTGCTCTGAACAGGAGCTACACAGATGCTTCTGGGAAGCTCACCAGCAGGATATGAAGGCAATAATCTGCCCCCCTCCCCCTGTTTCCACCTCTGGCAATTGTATACTATCTCTATAGCTGGAAGTTCCATTTAGCCATTATGACCAATAGCCATTGATAGACCTACCCCCTGTGAATTTTAAAGACTTCTTTGATGGTTGCCATCACCACATCTTGTGGCAGCATCTTGGTTGCATGGTCTGATTATTCTTTTTGGACACCCAAGAAAGCAAGGAAAAGTGGATGCCCTTGCCAAGGCTGGACTCTTGATGCGGAGCTCTGGACCAGCGCAGTCTTGTTGAGTCAGTCTTGTTGGTAGGAGGGGTGGTGGGATCGACAACAAGTTTTGCAAAAGGCTTTTTAAAAGGCTGATTAAGATGTGTTCTCATCTTCCCGGCTCTTGCTAGTATGTTATTGCTCATTCCTGTCCATCAGCAGAATGGTTTAGGCACCTGACCTTTTTCCATAATGGACCAAGGCCAGTGGCCCCACCAGTTTTCTATACAGTACAGTCAGGATCAATAGAAAAACATGTTGGAAATGGCTGATTAAAGGTTTGGTCAGAAGAGAGTTCTGTTTACATTGAGCAGCAGTGCCATGTGACTTCATGGCAGGAAGCACTGAGGTCAGAGAATAGGGAAGTTCATGGAATTGTGGAGCTTCAGGCTGCAAAACAATGCACACTTTCCTAGAAGTGAAGCTCACTGAGGACTGTAGGACTTACTTTTGAGTAAACGTGCATAGGATTGCACTGTTAGTGACCAAAGTCCATCAAGTGTGCCATAAGACAGCTTCTCCCGCCACCAATCTTCCTGTGTAGTTAGTACCATCAGTATTCAGATAACTGACTTTTTATTGGTGTGTAGATGTCATAGCAGGGAACACTTTCAAGTCTCTCCTCATTTCTGGCAGATTTTTTTTCTTGAAGTAGGAACATAAGAAGCTGCTTTAGGGCAATGGTCAAACCAGCCAAGTACTATTTGTCTTAACCGGCAGCCAACTCAGCCAGTATCTCAGCTGTGTCCATCGTGTTCATTTCCTGCTCTTTATTTAACTGGAGAAACCAGGGATCGAACCTGGAACCTTCTGCTTGCAAAGCATATGTTGTGTCATTGAGCTATGGCCCTGACCCAAATTAGTTCTTTCTTCCTCTTTTAAGGCTGCATCCATTGTCATGCTAATATACTTGTAGGCACTTGCTGTTCTGGAAGGAAAGATGACCGACTTATTCCACAAAGGCTTCTATTCTACCGTTCAACACTGGAAAATAGCATTCTGTTTGCCTCCTGCTTCCTTCACTGACTTCTGTGTAGGCAACTCAGAGAAGCTCTGTGCATTGCAAACACAGATATTTTAGATGCAGCTTGAGGGGTTCTCCATATATCTGAAAATAATAAACATAATCTGCCTGCTCTTCAGCAAAACCCTAGGGCCATCTTTTGCTTATTTCTGACAACAAAAGGAACTGCCTTCACCCAACAAGTCTGAGAACATGCTGTTGTTGTTTAGTCGTTTAGTCATGTCCGACTCTTTGTGACCCCATGGACCAGAGCACGCCAGGCACTCCTGTCTTCCACTGCCTCCCACAGTTTGGTCAGACTCATGTTTGTGGCTTCGAGAACACTGTCCAACCATCTCGTCCTCTGTCGTCCCCTTCTCCTTGTGCCCTCAATCTTTCCCAACATCAGGGTCTTTTCCAGGGAGTCTTCTCTTCTCATGAGGTGGCCAAAGTATTGGAGCCTCAGCTTCAAGATCTGTCCTTCCAGTCAGCACTCAGGGCTGATTTCCTTAAGAATGGATGCGTTTGATCTTCTTGCAGTCCATGGGACTCTCAAGAGTCTCCTCCAGCACCATAATTCAAAAGCATCAATTCTTCGGCGATCAGCCTTCTTTATGGTCCAGCTCTCACTTCCATACATCACTACTGGGAAAACCATGGCTTTAACTATACGGACCTTTGTTGGCAAGGTGATGCCTCTGCTTTTTAATATGCTGTCTAGGTTTGCCATCGCCTTTCTCCCAAGGAGCAGGCGTCTTTTAATTTCGTGACTGCTGTCACCATCTGCAGTGATCATGGAGCCCAAGAAAGTAAAATCTCTCACTGCCTCCATTTCTTCCCCTTCTATTTGCCAGGAGGTGATGGGCCCAGTGGCCATGATCTTCGTTTTTTTGATGTTGAGCTTCAGACCATATTTTGCGCTCTCCTCTTTCACCCTCATTAAAAGGTTCTTTAATTCCTCCTCACTTTCTGCCATCAAGGTTGTGTCATCTGCATATCTGAGGTTGTTGATATTTCTTCCGGCGATCTTAATTCCGGCTTGGGATTCATCCAGCCCAGCCTTTCGCATGATGAATTCTGCATATAAGTTAAATAAGCAGGGAGACTATATACAGCCTTGCTGTACTCCTTTCCCAATTTTGAACCAATCAGTTGTTCCATATCCAGTTCTAACTGTAGCTTCTTGTCCCACATAGAGATTTCTCAGGAGACAGATGAGGTGATCAGGCACTCCCATTTCTTTAAGAACTTGCCATAGTTTGCTGTGGTCGACACAGTCAAAGGCTTTTGCATAGTCAATGAAGCAGAAGTGGATGTCTTTCTGGAACAACATAGCTCCCTCTTGAAACCCATCTGACTCTCAGATCCAAACTAAGCATTTTTAAAGTCAGCTTGTGTGGCTTTATAATTACATTCTGTATTGTAAAATGATATGGTGCTCTGCTGTTGACTAATAGCTGTGTACAAGCAGGAAATGGAATCAGAGTATATGAGGTGGGCATGCTGAGAGGAGTACAGCTACAGGTACAAATACAATGAAGCCGGAACTAGATGATACTGGAGGTTTCCAAGATCTGGAAGCCGCTCGAAGTTGTGGACTACAACTCCCATCAGCTCTATAGCCAGAGCTTGAAAGTTGTAGTCCAGAACATCAGAAGGGCACCAATTGGGCTATCCCTGCCCTAGGCCTTTTGTGGTGGTACAAATCTATTCCTGTGTTTTATTTCAAAAGTGGGCATTGAATCTACTTAAAATGGAACAGAACTCTTTCGTTTTTATCCAAGGTTACTAAAATAAACACTTTCTTAGATTTGTGGCATTGTCAGCTCGATAGCTGCCACCTGGGTTAGGAGCTTGACTCTCCCTCTCTAAATCCTAAATCAACACTGTTCCATGGGGCACCCTGCAGTGCTCTCAAGAGAATGAGTAAGTGTGAAATAAAAATCTCTTCAAAGCGCCAATCACAAATCCAGGGATATGTTCAAAACAAAGGCTTAAAATTCTTTCAGGATGCTTGACTTTTTAAAGGAGCCAGGACTAAAAATTTCCTTTTCCTCTTTTAAGTAGCCTAGCAGAACTATTGTTGGATTGACTGCTAAAGTGGTTTGCTTTCACAGTCAAATGCTATTCTGGTTTGTCTCATGGGCGGGTTATACCTATCTCAATTGAAATTTATAAAAAGCAAATTCTAAATTAGAGTCTATGTCTGTTTCCACAGGTGAAGGCTGTTAGCTGGAAGATTTTTTATTTGCTAGCCATAGAGAATATTCAAAAAAGATTTTAATTTAAAGGCTGATTGTTTGCATGTGTCTTCAGTAAATTTTCCTGTTGAAGAGGTCAGGAAAGCTAATCCTCATGAGAGCAGCTTTATATATCTGCATTGTTTTATACAACTGTATTCCAGCCACTGGAAAGTGCATAGCATCCTTTCAGATACCTTCTGTTATTAATGGATTCTGTTGAACCTGTCATGGGAACTGTAAAATGTACTTGCAGTGGTATATAGATTGGATTTTCTAGGAAAGGGGTGATGATTCACATACATTGTTATAAAAATTAAACTTGTCCAGCTCTTTACAGCCACTTACACCACCTTCATCCAGTTTCCAACCTCTCACAGCCACAAAAATCTCACATCCCCACCAGTCACTGAAAATGGCGGCTACTGTAGTTTTCACAAAATACAGTATTTCTCATGCTGCGACTTGATTGGCAGTACATAGTTACTTGCCTAGCTGCCCTTTGCGACAGACAGTAAAATTACCCCCCCCAAAAAAAGCAGTTTATGTGCTGCTGCTTCAAACGGAAACTTTAATTTGCCAAAATTAAATTTCACCCCCTAAAATGACATGTCGTACTAGAACATAAAAAGCCCTTTTCCTTTTCCACTGAGGAATCCATATGTGTGCTTCCTGTTCTGTTAAGCAACTTTGCACCAGCCATGGAGGTACTGCAAGGAACTGCTGCTTGTTTTATATACACGCTCATACACATAAGAGAACTGAAACAATCCTGCCACAATGAGTGCCTCCTCCCCAAAAGTACAAACCTTGTACAACTGTTTGTTCCACAGTTTGGGGTTCCTTGGGCAAGATATTTATGGTAGGACACACACACCATTGTTGCTTCCTGCTCACTTTCTCATAGGGCTGGAGGTTGGCAAGCAAAGGAACTGGCTGGGTGAAAGAGGAGGAACAGTATTCATTGCCACTTCTGGGAGAGGGCAGTTAGTGTGTGGTAATAGCTGCTGCTGTTCCTTGCCCCAATGTCACTTGCCCAACTGGATGGCTGAGTGGACCCTTGTAAGACACTGGGACCCTCAGCATCTGCCCGAGAATACTGGGCAATGGATGGAAATCTCTCTCAAAATGTAAATGCCATTATTTTTAAATACTTCATAATGTATTTTACATGTATATACTTTTTTTTCTTGTAACTTCCGTTGCATTTTGGTGCCAGAAATCTTAATGGTTTGCTGAGGGTGAAGAAAAGCTGCCATCTTCAGCAACTGTTTGTATATGGAGTGGTGATGATTATTCTGTGAATTAAAAAAAATATTCTCAGGTTTGTTTCTTCAAGCCATTTCATTTTAGACGCTCAGATGTAACCAGTATTCAGCAGCAATTGAGAATTCACATGAAAGGAAAAGGGGAGGAACTCAAGGTTGTGTTAAGACGATTGTTCCATCAGGAATGCATTTCAGCTTATCCAATGGAACGATGCCCCCCTCTCCTCCCCCTGATCCCCACAGAGCCAATTTTTTGGGGAGGGGAGGGAGGAAGCCTGGTTACTCCAGTGGAAGGCTGTGTCCAGGCATAGATCTCTCTTAGTGGAGATTCCAATATTTTTTCAGTCTCATGCAACTTAGTAGAGATGACAAAGTTGGGCATGTTTTCTTCCAGAGGCAGTCAGCTGTTTTATTTACTTATTTGCAAAACTTTCTATAGCGCCGACATTAAGAAAGAAAATATGGCAGTGCACAACATAAGACTAACAATAAATCTGCATTCCTTAAAAAAGTACAAAAACATGTTGCAGCTGGATGAGGAGCTGTCCCAGGTCACAACTGATGCACTGAGAAGTGTTTGGGGGTACATCCTGTGCAGCTGCCATGTTGTTAAAAGGAGAATATTCTCTTCAAATAGGTGGTTTGTGTTTGCTCTTTGTGCGGGAGAGGAATGATTCCAAACATCTATGGGAATTCACGGTCACATGCTTGGTGTCCCCATGCCGGGGGTGGGGAGTGGGAATCAGATGTGGCTAGTGAACAAAAGTTGGCATGGCCTTGACTGCTCATGCAGTTGAAAACCAGCTTCTGTCACCAACAGTAGGATAACCCCTTCATTACCCCCACTGCTGTGGAACCATGTGATACAACCCCTGCAGCTCCCGTTGCTGCCACTGTTTGTCTCTCCAATGGAGGAGGGTGTGAAGCCACATCACGGAAGGTTTTCAGCAGTGGTCAACTGTGAGGTCCACACTTGCCTTGAGCTGCCCTGTGGGGGTGTTGAAAGGAGACAGATTGCTAGTCCAGCTGCAGAATGGCTCCTTTTAGTCTTCTATCACTTAATCTTTCTGAAATCAGCCTCCGCTTCAAGAAGGATAGAAATTGGATAGCACAAAGATTTTCCATTGCTGCCCATGGCAGCAGCCTTACGTTTATGTATATATCTCTCAGGAAACAATGACTTTGCTTTTCAAACTTTTCAAGGACAGGAACATGTTCCTGGGAATGTTTAAGAGTGTGAGAGTGTGTGTGTGTGTGTGTGTGTGTGTGTGTGTTCCTCTTCTAGTCTGAAGAAAGGTATCAGGACAGCCAAGCCACAGATTGTACTCCAACCAAAACCTTCAATTCCCATAAACATGCACATAATTGTGCTGGATCTCCCCTGGTAGCACTTCTTATGGACATTCACAGCCCTGATAGATTGACACAGATGATGGACATTACTATTCAAATACTGTGTGCATGCTGCATCTTGTGATCAATTATGTGTGGTGGGGCTTACCTGCCCCTCCAATATTTTATTAAAGTTGGCACCCCTGCTTCCATGGAAGTTGATCTCCCCACCTCTACCTACCTATACACAGGCAGGCATGCACATACATACATACATGAACACTACCACCAATACCATCCTTTTGCCTGTAACTCAGAAACTGTCCTTGTTTGCACATCACAACAATCCACACTTGGGCTTACTGGGATCGTGTGAATATCTTCTCAGAGAGGCACTCACAGCTTCCTTTGCTGCTCTGGGCTTGGTTACAGTTTGTGATCAGTGAGGTAGAGAGAACTCTGAGC